CGGACTGAGATCGAGTGAGATGCAGACAGTGAGAGGGCAGATGGGAAGGGGCTAAATGAAATGCCTGCAATGTGTGCCAACTATTGACACAAGACTCGTTGTCGGCGGAGCGTCAAAGCACTTGAGCAAATAGACAATGTTAGAGTCAGACATATAGACAGAGATTCATACCTATGTACATTCACACAGACATCCTTTAAGTATCTACATGCAGACACATATGTATGTATGTACAAACTGAATACAGGATGAGAGTGTCTGCTACAGTCTGTTCTGGAAATCAATTTCACATTTATTGCATCAATTTCATGTTTATTGAAATAAAAATAATAATAATAATAATAATAGTAATAATAATAATAATAATAATAATAATAATAATAATAATAATAATAATAATAATAATAATAATAATATAATAATCATAATAATAATAATAATAATAATAATAATAATAATAATAATAATAACTGTAATTTCTATATTAGTAAAGTAGTTTCTTTAAAATAAAAAAAAATAATACACAATTATATAAGAAAATATTCGCAATAAACATGTAAAGCTAGTCAATGCGGAGTTACTTCAAATGTTTTTACAACTGGTATTTTATGTGTGGAATTGGGACGAAAATAATTTAAAGAACACATTCAATAACTATTGTCTACATCAATGATAATAAGGAAGACGACGACGAGACGATAATAGTTTACTTGCGTTTACTTGCGTTAATAGCATTGAGCTAGCTCGAAAGCAAAATCAAAGCACATTCTCGGCAACCCATTGTCGTCTGGGCTGCTGCCCTTCAGTGCCCCTTACCCGAACTGCACTTAAAATAACCCTAATGCGCGTAACGCAAATGCATTCAATTACTTGATGTGTCTATATTGCAGTTACAATGTGTCTGTATCTGGCTCGAGACAGTGCATGGGTGCAGGAAATGCAATTGCCATTTTGTAGCAGCACAAAAAGATTGAGTAGCGCATAAAATTGATGGATAAAATAGCACTCTGGTTTTATAATATGACTCAGCAACTGCAGCAGTTGCTGCTGAGATTGTTTATCTGCCGCTTGACTGGGCCTTTCCACTCACATTTTCAGACCCAGCTTCGGCAGGTGTGTCGACTGTTACAATGTAAGGGGTATACCTATTTTTCTAGCAATATAAATAAATACCAACATATTGGTAAGAACGGGCGGCAATGGTGGTAAAAGTATTTGTTGCCTGTCCCACTGGAAATTTATGCATTGCAGCATTTTCGTTGACGCCTGCTGGCTAACTGCTTGGCTGCTCGGCGGGGCATTATTCACTCGTTATATACCTATAGGCTAAACTTGTAGGCATCAGGGTACTATGGGCTAAGCCGACATTGTTTCTGGAAAAAAGTCAGTATATAAATGACCCAAAAAGTAAGTGAAGCATCAGTAGGTAAATATGCCAATATGCCAGCTGTTGCTAATATTATCCATTTAAAAACTTTATTCGAGAATTCCTTACACAATTGTGAGCAATTTTGTCCATTAGATTTTTTTTCAAAATATGAGAATAATACACCGTCTTAGATTTGTATTTATCTATGCGAGAAATGAACTCGTTATTCGCACTGAGCGTTGCTAGTGTTTTGGTCATTTTTATACCCTGAACCCATTAAAAATGGGTATAATTATACCCTGAACCCATTAAAAATGGGTATAAGGGTATATTGTATTTGTGCGAAATCCAAATGTATGTAACAGGCAGAAGGAAGCATCTCCGACCCCATAAAGTATATATATTCTTGATCAGCATCAATAGCCGAGTCGATCTAGCCACGTTCGTCTGTCTGTCCGCCCATCCGTCCGTCCGTCCGTCCGTATGTATGAACGCAAGGATCTCAGAACCTATAAGAGCTAGAGACTTGAAATTTTAGATGTAGGTGCTCATAGTTCCCCCGCAGACCGAGTTTGTTTCTGATAATCGATAACTTACTCCGTTTCCAAGCAATCGATAAAAATCGATATTGATATCCTGTTTTTTGGGCAATTTTGGTAAATAGTAAGAGCTAGAGTCACCAAACTTGTCATATATGCATTTGATGTTGGAAGAAGAGGGTTCAGGGTATCCCCTAGTCGGGAGCTCCCGACTAGAACCTCATACTTGTTATACCCTTGCAGATGGTAGTATAATTTGTCTCGAAATGTGTAACGCATAGTCATCTCCGACCTCATAGAGAATATGTATATTTTATTTCAGTGTCAACTGCCGTGTCGTAAATTAAATTTATAATTTTGACTATGCCCTTTATATGTATGACAAATCTTATCAGCATCGGACCACTTTATATGGTAGAGCTTCAATATGAAGGATCGGTGAAATAGTAGGCTCTTTTAAAGAAAAATATATTGTTTTCAACTATATTTCACCAACTCAGCACCTTCGAGCTGAACTATTCTCGTATATCTGCAGAAGGGAAATGTCTGCGTGGCTATTTCTTTCTTTTTTTAATTTTTGTATTTTCTTTTATCTTTATGATACACAGAGCTGTCGGTCCTGACGATTGACTGGCCGATTGGTGATCCACGGACAACCCAAACCGTAAGTCTAGAAAACTGAATTTTGTAATGTAGGCTACGACGCTCTTTTGAAAATTTCTAGCCGCATATTGATGGAAAACGGAAAACTTTATACTCATTTTTTTTAAATAATAAATAAAATGTTAATTATAAATTAAAGTTCACTTCACTTTTTATAGCCTCTACGTATTGGATAAAGATAAAAGGGTGTCATGGTTTTATTCATATATATGTAAAGAGAAGAGGCTTATCGGACACATATTTATGTTCTTGATTCAGATCACGAGCTGAGTCGATTTACCTACGTCCTTCCTAAGGACTTTAAATTTATGTATTGTGCATAAACGAATCTCTGAATTCATAAGCATTCTGAAATTCATATTGGGCTGTATTGTTGCATGTATGCGTGAATTTATTTTTAATGTACGTGCGAATGTGTGCATTATACGTATGTGTGTTATTTCTCGCTGCACTTACAAATAAAACTATAAGGAAAGTTTTAGCCGGAAGTGCCCGACTAGCAAATACCTTGAACTTTCTTGTACAAAACCGCTTGCTTAAGCTTTAGCAAGGACATATACATTGATCTGTATGTTCTTTACGAGAAGCTACATGTCCAATTTGTTGACTCTAGATCTTAATATCTAAGGCACAGAACAAAATTTTGATTGCTTGGAAACGAGATAGGTTATTGATGACAAAAGGACGGACGGACGACTCGGTTACTGATACTGCTCAAGAATCTATATATTTTCTGGAGGGGGAGGTGCTTCCTTCTACCTCTTACATAGAATTGCACAAAATATAAACTTATACACGTCTTAGTCATTTGTAAAGGTATCAAAGTAATAACGTACAACACGAGTTGTAAAGTAAAAATGAAAAACAAAAATAATTAAAAACGAGAAAGAAAGGCTATCCTCGGCACGCCGAAGATCTAATACCCTTGCAGACCCAACTTTTCATAATGCTCGTAGTGCTTTGCCCGTATATAAGAAGCACAGGGAAAATAGTTAATGCCGAGTTTGGTCAAGATATCTTGATAAACAAAAAAGGTTTTCAACCGATGGTTTCTATATGACATATATATGATGAGCGTAGTAAAACTAATAAATGCCGAGTTTGGTCAAGATATCTCCAACACGAAAATTAGGTCAAGAGATATGTATCTTGAATTGCGCACACGATTAACCTGCCGTAAGGACATTTCACGTATATCTCTTGAATTTGCACACGATTAACGCTAAGACATTTCATGTAGACCATCAATAAACTCGTTTGACGAAGATGGCAACATAAAGTTTGAATCTGATGGCGATGACCAGTCGACATCTGGAAGATTAAACTCCCCAGGAACTACTAAAACATGAAATAAAAATAGAAAAACTGCCAAATACAACTCTTACAGCCACCAACTAAATCTCTGAGATGGGAAGATCAATGCGTTCCGACGAAAGAGCAGACTTGATAGCTATGAGTACTCCTCCTCTGATACGGGAAGCTCGATCACATCTGTAAGTTTTGAGGGAAAAGAGTTGAAGAGTCTGAGATGTCCAGCTTCAGCCAGGTCTCAGTGAAAGCGATAATTTGAAAATTAAAAGAGAGAGAGTCTAAATACAGGTTAGCGAGTTTAGATTTAAGACCTTAAGAAATTAGTTCTTTGACACAGAAACTAAAGTTGATACGCCATTAGAAATATATGGTGATAAAATCGGAGTCCGATTTTTCTTTTTGGCCTTATATTCTTTTACTATTAAGTGTTCCGGCCAAAACTTTTTACAACAAATATCAGTAAATATTTCTGGCGGAACACTTATTTTAAAGGACGCAATATCCCTTTCATAAACGAACTTAAATTTCTCCACCAACACTATTAACTGTGGTACCTGAAACAGCCGGTAGCCCGGACGACGAGCCTTCAAGCAGCTGTTCCCTTTCGGAACACCTACGACAGAAGACGACACGGATAATTCGATTGATTTTTCTCGTGCCGTTTTAGGACAGAATCAATGTCCACAGCAGACCTCACAGCTACCGAAGTAACAAACGAGATGACAATATATTCCATCCACCATCTCTATTGCTAATATCACGCCAATATACCCTCTTGCAATTTATCTTTCTCTATCTTACACTCAGTTTATTTCGGTTCCTTTCTCCTACTCGTATTCTAACCTGCTCACACTTCTTTTGATATTTTATTGAGATGTTTATGCAGGAGTAAGTGTGTATGTAAATATATATTTAAATTAAAAAGAATATATGTTTAATTAACCTCACAGGCTATGTGCACTTAACGGCGGAAAACGTAACTCACCTGCAAGGAAACAAGTATAAAAATATCATAAGAATATTATGATTAAATATATTCTTTTATTAAACTAAACATATACAGAGTTATATATGTTTAGTTTTGAAAAATATTAGAATAAAGAGTCAATTTTAAATAGAAAGTCCCGACAGCAGCAAAGCTCATTATCAGTCTGAAATGGCAATCGATACTTATGGATGTCGAATATACCCAAGTACAAGGACATTCAAGAAAGCATTGTGTGCAAATCCCCTCTTTTATGTAGGGTAATTTTAAGATTTTGATAGCGACAATTGCTTGGCATCCGAAGTTTGGTGACCAAAAACAAACGTAATTCATTAAAGAACCTAATTATAAAATAAGCGAAATTTTCAATATTTTATTGTCGGCCCTTATATAAATACCATTTATGCTGTATTCATTGGGTATGCATTCAGAGAACTTATTTGAGATATTATCAGCTCCTGCAACATTTATAACATTCGCCCCGCCTTCCGCGTCAGAGTTGTATCCCGTCGCATTGATTACACACTCGGCTAAAGAGCAATTTATACAATGAGAATCGCCTTTGTCTGCAGGACATTAAATTGTATCCTTTGTGTTAATTGTTCCGCCATTTCATAACTTACTACCGCATACCAAGCCAATGAGTAATATTGGAAATACAACCCAACCTGGCATATCTTTTTTGGAAAATATTCAAGCGAACTGACACAGTTTTATGGGCATGCTTATTGTGCTATTATATGAACTAGAACATGTATGAAAGTTTTCAAAGTAGCTAAGATATGTTAGAATCTTAAGCTTAAAATTGATTAAATGAATATGATAACCAAGAATGCACATCACATATTTTGCATTCCGTTTATTTTTTACAAAAACAGTTTATACACATTAAGAATGGATCTGAAAGTTAAACCATAGAGTATACATATATATTTTTTATCACAGACTTTGTGGTTTTAGATGTCTTTATGTAATTAACTTAATATTGATTAAATGTATACTTCTACACTTTTACATAGCTAATATATATAAATATATAAAAAAAAAACTTCTCCACAAAGTCAATTAGAATTGACAAGTCCGTAAAGCATATATGACTTAAAATGTATCATATTTTAAAGCTTATATAATTACTCGCTTTAATTGTGAAACGTAGTGGAAACTATAAGCTGACGTTACCGGAAATTAAAAAAAAAAATGAAAAAAAGCCATTTACATCTGGTAAAAAACTGCAGGTCGACAAAAAAGCGAGGTTGACCCTCGCTTTCCAGTCTACCAAAAAAAGTTACAAAACTTTTTTCGTGTATGTGCATGCATATAAGTGTGAATTTTTGTGTATTTGTATATAAGGCAAACCACATGTTGTTCTATTAACGGGACATATTAATGTTGCTCCCTGGCCAAAAAAAAAAGCTGCACTTGCCCAAAAACTGAGCCCGAATTAGCTACGAACACGGCAACACGGAGAACCGGAAAGCAGTTGAGACCAGTTGTAGACAGACGGCGGATATGGTGTGTCGGAGATAGAGGAGAGGAAAGAGAAGGCGGAGAAGGGGAACAAGAAAAGTACTCATGGACGCAACGTGTGGCCATTGCCCCCCCACGTTTCCTTCCACCACGTTCCAGTACATGTTGTCAGCCCCCTTTGGACTGCTGCTTTCAGTCATAAACTCTAACATTACAATTTCTGAGTGTATGTGTGTGTGCTTTTTTGACTTTCTATTTTTTTGACATTGTCGGTTGTTGATGTTGCTGCTATTTTTCGTGGGTACTGTTAATAATGCGTTGTGTGCATTGCTTTTTTTTGTTCACTGTCGCAGGTGGAATGGTTCATACTTTGATATGTCAGATAAGTCCCGCATAACATATTTTATTAGCAACGGTCTGCACTCCTCTTACAATACTTGTACGAATGATTGTGTGCGATCGTGTGTGTGTCTATGCTTGCGTGAGTTCGTGCATTAGTTGAGTAGCCCCGAAACATAATGTTTGTAAGATAACAGTGCAGCGCCCAAAAGTGTTTTCTGGACGCTCGTTTGGTTGCAAAAAGATGTATTGATAATACGTACAGCCATTATTGAAAACGACCTAAAACATGGATCATAGAATCAAATAGATTTTCTTTTCCTTTGCCAACTTCAGCATTATTTTCAGTATTTTTTACAAATAAAAGCAAGCTTCAATAGCAAGAAGAAAATTATTCATCAATAAAACCTAATACTGCTCATTTATTTTTATTTAATAACATTTTTTATTTTTATTATTTAAATATCATTCAACTTTTCATTTATTATTATTTCAAAGCATTTATTATTATATATATGTTTTAACAATAATCATTAAGAGGTTTCAGCCGCTAGTATCCTACATATTAAATTGGTTATTTATTAAAAAGAAAAGTGTATATGGTCGCGATTGTCTGTTTAAGTATGCTCTTCCCGTTGTGGTTTAGTATCCCTTTTTTTTAAATGCTATATTTATATATATGAAATACCCTCGCAGGGGAGATTAACATATTCTCATGAAATGTGTAACGCATAAGTATATATATATATGATCTGAATCAATAGTCGAGTCGATATAGCTCGTCAGTTTTAAAACTATCGTTATGAAGCTTTTCATAAGCCCGATGTTATGCCCACGTATGTCGGAACGGGCCGGATCGGACCACTTCATCATATAGATATCATAGGAATTATGGGTAGAAAATCCGGATCTGATATTTACAAATTTTTGTGTGTTAAGATATATTGTAACGCTGGTGGCTGTAGGCGGCTAAAATAGCGCACTGATATATACATGATACCTAGGGATGTTTAACTTATTGATGCTCTATTCTTATGAGTGTTCGTTTCCTGCTTGACACGTCTGGTTGCGTTGCTTAGCTCGCCGGATGGGGTGTGAGATCTTGAAACTAACAAAACTCATAGCCTAGGAATGCTACTGCTACCGAAACAATAAATAACAAATACACGTGTCAAGACTGGTGCTTATAAAGCGGTACTAACTGAAAAGCGGACAGACGTTATCGTTCACGATAGTTTTTGGCTCAGTTGGATGACATAACTGAGGCTACACACTTAATTTTCCCTCCCTATAAATTGCTCCGATCAAAGCAACGCCATGACAATCCTCGTGTGTAAAATTATATTAGATTGTCCCTTTTAGTGCTATTTAGTTACATTTTAAGCTTCTACCCCGTCTTTATACTTCCACATCTGCATGCCTCAAATGAGATTTACAACAAAGTGAATATCATTATATTACTGATACATTTAATGAAATATTAATGATCTTGTTCTTGATCATTATATCAACGCTTATACCGACTATTATATTTAACAATATTTGTTTTCTTTCTCAAACGAACTGCTGTTTAAAGTTTTGAAACTTTACATGCTAGAAGAGCATGCTATCTTGATCATGTCTTTAATTAACTGGTTTTTGCTCATTGAGGATACGATACAACTTACGTGAGAATATAGCGTTTTACACATGATGAAGGATGAATTTTAAATGATGTCGGTGAAAGATGATTTAGGAAAGTGATGTTTGAGCTCAAATCAGCACCATCTGTAATTGAATAAGACTTTAGTTTACGTATATATGAATTAGCTTATATTCCAAAAGCAAGTATACCGTTCCTTGCAAAAATCAAAAAAAAAAAACATGATCAGTTAATATATGTTTAACTTGGCTTACAAAAAAATTATATACACTAGGAATAATTCAAGGAGAGCGCTCCAATTAAAAGTACATCCCGTCATTCGTTCTTCTGGATTTACTGTCTGGTCGGTCCACGCTGCACCATTAAGAATTTGGATTTACGAAGATCTTGTTTTGAAATCGCTGTTAGTTTTCTTTAGCACATTTCATAACGAAGGCAGGGCTGCTGCTTATATATATGTAGATGGCTTGGCAGAGTCCATTTCACATTGGCGTTCCGAAGATATAGGTTATGTGGAAGCACGCGTGGTCACCAAAAAGTCTACATCTGAGCATTGAGGCTATACGCGAGGCCATACGTGCTTGTTGCTCCTTTCACAGTGAAATTTAAGCTGTTACTGTGGCCGTCGAAGCTACTTATGCCAACAGCATTCCTTCGAAATTTTCGCCTTTCCGTAGATAGAAAAAGTTCTTCTAGAATTCCACACTCGTGGTGGCCGACTCTCACGGTGGACTTCACACCCGTGGCTATGGCCACACGGCCTAACTTCGTCGGCTGTTATATTGGCCTTCTGATCAGTACTCGGTTGGTGGTAATTTCTTCCACGTGTCTTTAGACAACCGGTCTTCTCGACTTGCAAAAGATTACTTGATGTAGCTCTTAAATGTACGTCTGCTTCGTAGTGCCGCCGAAATTAAAAAGAAGTCACGCCACGCGCTTTGGTTTGGTCTCAGCATCGGTATAAAAAAAAAGCTCTCCAATCAACGGGATCCTTCCAATGCTTTTGACATCTAGCGTTGCCACATCACCCGATTTACAATTTTCTCTTACCAGATAAGGTTGCCACTTAAATGTAAATTATTAAGAATCAGCTGACACTTTCTGACTACACTAAAACAAACAAACATACTTTTCGTATTTTACAAGGCAGCCGTAACACCACCTTCTTCGCAGGCTTCTAAGCCGAAGAAAAGGAAGAAACGGTTGACTTATCCTCCTTTACAATTTTTCTCTCGTGGGGCTCGACCACAACCTGAGATAAAGCCGGGCACCTTACATAGCTTTTAGATCTTTAGCATGAAATTTTCCTACAAATTTCCCTTGCATATTTTCTATTTCATATAGTGCTGTTCCTATTTTTTTTTTAATTCGACATTTGATATATGCTGGTAAAAGTTTCGCATTAATGCCTTTACTAGCATTGCTTTGAGTAAAATTCTTTCTAAAAATTTCCTGTCCTTCCTTGTAATTCACCCATCTCGATCTTCGATTATAACATTTTTCTGCTTTTAAATGTGCTTCCAATAGATTGTCTTTTATTTTGTCATGTAGCAGTTGCATTTTATTACAATGTGGCATTACATTCACCTGATTATCTCGCAGCGCTTCTAATTGTTCTAACAATTTATAACTTTTCCCATGCCTTAACATCGGCTGACCAAATAAGCTAAAATATGGAGTACATTTTAGAGAGCTGTGATAATCGCTACGCAAGACACTACAAATTTCTGACAAATGCTTATCCCACTGATCGTTTTTTTCCTTAAGCAAAATTCTTAGTTTAATTAAGATTTCTCTATTTACTCTCTCACTGACGTTTGCTTGAGGCGAATATAAGCCTGTACGTACTTGTGTAATCCCATATTTATGTAAAAACTCTACCATTTGAGAAGACACAAACTGTTTACCATTGTCGCTATGAATATATTGTGGAACACCAAAAGTATGAAATATGTGTTCTTCTAAATACTGCATAATATTTATACTATTGGCTTTTTTTAGTGCTTTTAAGAATATGTACTTCGTAAAATGGTCAATAGCAATAAATACCATAGAATTACCTAGTTTAGTTCTCGGATACGGTCCTAACAAATCCATATATATTCTCTGAAAAGGTCTCTCAGTAATTATTTGTTTTCCCATGGGCGGTCTTTGAATTATGTTACTTGGCTTTGCCATCTTACAATTTTCACATTGCTCTACAAATACCTTAACTTCCTTACACATATTGGGCCAATAATACTTTTCTCTAATTCG